AACTGGAATAGTGTTCTTGTGCGACATGTAATACACGTAAATTGACACAAACATCTCAAGTTTCTTTGTCGGCCAAGTGCTGATACGGGACCCTGCTGCCAGCGTTAAATTATTCAGCAAGTGGGATGTTTATGTGCGTCCAAAATCCTGACGAGGCACTAAACACAATAGCAGAACAACAGGAGAGAAGAGGACACCAAGACTTGACTAATGCTCTGATGGTAATTAAACAAGCGGTTGTCTGACCACACAGTTTCTCTGGCGTGACTGCGACGAGGGACTACACTTTGAGAACAGAAGTCTTTTCAATTTCCTTGCAAGCAAACTAAAAACTAGCAGAGCCTTTACAGAGTGAGCCAGGGCCAAAGCACAGTAACCTCTAACACTGACGCTGCAGCAGCAGACAAAACTGATGATAGTGGTGGAATAAAAACACGACTGCACTGAGTGGATGACGTGCATTCAAGATTTCCCTGCAGGAAGCGAAGCAAGAGATAGATTCAAACACACGTGAAGGATGAAGAGAAACTGGTTTGTGCTTCAGGATCCGAGCAGCAGCAGCGAGTTGTGTCGCTGTTTATTTCACAACGTATCGGCCGATATATATCAGTATCTGAAATCTTTCACTCATTAGTAATGGTGTCGGCATCAGGCCTGAAAAATCCATATTGGTCGGAGTCTATTAAGAGAACAGAACAGAATCAGAACACTGTGTGTGTGTGTGTGTGTGTGTGTGTGTGTGTGTGTGTGTGTGTGTGTGAGAGAGAGAGACTAGAATATTCCCTCAGCTCAATGTGTGTGTGTCTGTTTCTGTGTCTGTCACCTGTGGCTGCTGCTGTCAGTTGTTCCACACACACACACACACACACACACACACACACACACACACACACACTTCACAACTCACGTGAGTCATAGTGTGTGTGTGTGTGTGTGTGTGTATGTGTGTGTGTTCCTGGACTTTGTGAGGACATTTTTAAGTATAAACAGAGAGAAGACTCTTTTGAAAGTGAGGACATTTTGACCGTTCCTCATTTTGTCATTGGTTTTAGGGTCAGAGCTGCAACTAGAATCATGTTTATGGTCAGGTTAGGGTTAAAATTAGGTTTAGCATTTAGTTTGAGTGCCTAACAACATGTAACAGAGTAAAACTCAGTGTGTTCCTCTCATGTTTTACTGTTATATGTGTGTATGACTCACAAACCTGGACTCCCGCAGCTCTCTGCTCCTGTAAACACACGGGGATCAAACACCACACGTTCTCCTCTCGCTGCTTCTCATACCTGTGCGCTGGTTTTCACCTCCTGCGGAAAACGTCGGTTTAATCCAGTCAGACGAGAAATCCAGCTCCTCCAGCCTGAGGAAGATGACGGTGAAGATGAAGATGAAGATGATGATGTGGTGGCGGAGCTGCTTTTTCTGCTCCACACAACTTTCCAGCAGCTTCACTTCCTCAGCTCAGGACCGGCCGCTCACAGTCATCGTCCGCCCCGGGGGAGGAAGCGCTTGATTCCGGCGTGGAAGAAGAAGAGGAAGAGGAGGAGGAGGAGGAAGGTGAAGACAGGTGAGGACGGAGAAAAGAAAGTAAAGAGACACACGGCAGAGCCTCGGTGGGATCAGCTGTCACCTCCTCAGACATCAGCACGGTCTCTCGGCTCCTCTCTCCATGCCTGCACAGAACTAACACCCACTTTTTCCACTGCGAGCCGAGGCTGCCCCCGCTGCCGCCTGACTGCAAATACATCTTTTAATTCATCTCCACATACATCACAGAGAGTCAGAGTCAAATCTTATGGAGCTGGACTGATTTGGTAAGAAAGCGTGAAGTTTGTGATGCAGAAAAACAAACAAGAAAATGAAATAAATTAAAGTGATGATGAAATGTGAAATACTGACTGATTGCTAAGAGAAAGCAAAGTATATGATATGATATGATACATACACACAAACATTCAGAATTCAGATTTAATAAACGTGGTTAATCTGGAATTCAAGTGCATGCATTCTAAACTGAGATTGTGCTTTTTCAAAAGTTCGCAATGGATTCCAGCTATACACAAAAATAATCATAAAGAAGTACAAACACACATGTGGTCAACCTGAAACCAAATGGCTCACAGAGATTGTGCTCCTTTTTTTTAAAGTTTGCAACGTTTCACATGCAAGTAAGTAGTTTTATAGCACTTTTATATTGTGTTATTTCCCAGAAGAGCTGACATTTTATAATAAAAAAAAAAGGTCCTGCATCTTTAAATTTGATTAACCACATTCTTATTTTAGTATCACTAGATACAGCAGATGTACAAGTGTGAGGAAGGAACAAACTCTGCTTTTGTGGCAGAGAAAGAACTAAAATACACTAAAAAATTTCCTCAGTTCATTATCTCATTCCTGTGCAGGTCAGTACATGTTGTGTCGCCTCCACCCAGACCAAAACATTTGTAATAACATTATCTAGGACTGGAAACGAAAGCTTTTTTGATATCATTATATATGTAATACAGTGTCAGCGTGTCCAGAGTAGAAGTGTAGTAAATAGCAGTGGCTATTGTGGGTTGGAGGAGTATAATTGTTCCCTGTAATAAAGCAGTTTGACGCTCAGCAGGAAGGTGTAACCAGCTCTCAGATTAGTGGTTTTTCTTCTCTTTGATTTGCAACTATCACGACAACGAGAGCCCCTTTTTAAGGTGGAGAAAATCATAGTGGTTGCACATGAGATTATATGTTTGGTAACCTTTTTTGTCAGCCGCCGTCATTGTGAATTGTGTTGCACTGAATCCAGTTTTTTTGCTGTGTCTGCAGTAATGACAGCTTCCTCATATGAGATCTTCTACAAGCAGAACAATAGCAGGAAACAAAGCCAGTAGGATTCTTTCACCCTCGTGTGTTGTCACGGAAAACAATAAGATACAAGGCAGGTCACACTAAAACACATTTTTGTAAACAGCCTTAGTATACACATAGACTGTATATGCATATAGATACATGCAAGGACAAGACCTGAAGGGGTTTGACTCACTCGCCAACCAGAAAGTCCCCTAGAAGTAAAATATTTTGCTGTGGTAAAGCTCCCAAAAAAGGCATTTAGTGTTTAAAATTATTAATCAGTAAAATTAATCAGCCTGTTATGTTTAAACAACATTTTTATAGCTTTTACTACACCTGAAATATAATTGCATATAGCAATATTTGCAATAGTATATGTATTTTCTTTACTAATTTACATGATCGTATTCATTGGCATTCATTTTTTGCTTTTTAATATGTCATTACCATCAACACTGTCCAATTAAAGCCACATAGCTAAAACATGTTGACCTTCATCAGTGACAAAAGAACAATTCATTTTTAGAGCGGCTGTCTGTAACTTCCAACAAATCCTGGTCCCCCAGTGTCAGTCAATGAACGTGGGTAAATAAGTGTAGGAAGTGTCTGGCTCTGTGCGACCATTGGTGGGCTTCATTGACGCCACATTTGGCCAACTAACTGTACACACACACACACACACACACACATATGCTCGCACCCATTCTACAACTGCGAACCCTCCAGATCAGTGGCCCTGTATGAAACGCCGGCTTTGTCTCCACACACAGTGGCCACTTTCATTAAAGGGCATTTTGTGGGTCTATTGTTGTCTTTCAGTATTTTGCTGCCAGTTGATCGTCACCATAATGCTCCGCGGGCAGAGAACACATTGGCTGTCGTACAATCATCCCATTGTGTTTCCTCTGAGAAACATCAGCCAAAGTGTTGGTGCAGGCAAAAAAATGACAATGATTGTGGGCAGTTATTACCGCACTGGACTGATGTCGGTAAATGACTCAATGATTAATACGAGTTCTCAATCGTCACAGTGGGTTTGACATTTAAATGCAAGATTTTGAGATGTATTATTCTTGTCAGTAGTAATCATAGCACATTTTCTGTTTAAATATGTGGATACCTTTGATTAAAAATGTTTCCTATCTACACTGTGTCTCTTCCCATGAAGTTATTTGTGTGTGACTCCATGTTTATCTTGAGTAGACCTCAGTACCTCTGGTATTAAATCACAGAGTTGCCACTGAAGTGCGTCTTTCCTCTTTCCTGTTTGGCAGAGAGAAGCTATTGTTGCATTATCTAGAGTTTATAAAGAGTAAAAACAAGTGGAGAGATCTGTTGAGTGGACTGTCTGCTGTCCAGTCCACTCTTCACATAGTCCACTTTGCAGAGGGGCCTCTTGTTTGCAGCTTGGAGGATCCGTCCCTGCAACAGACTGTGAGATCACAGCAGTGTACGAACATCATGCTGTTGAAATGTTCAATAACTGACCATTTTATGAAGTTTTCCAGCCTTTATTCTTATAATTAGACCAATTAGATCAATCAAAAGTATTTGAATTGATCACTTTCCAAACAGAGATACATCAGCATCGATCCAAACCAAGAGTCTGTCACTTGGGCAATTTAGGATGTGGATAAATATTTCCATTCACTATATTGTGCATTGTTCTGAGAGACGTCATCGTCACGCAACACTTTGCTGCCACCTCCAGGACGCTGAGGCTCAGTCATGTGAACTTAGGCCTTTTTACGTCAGCCTGTATTTATCATAGATGATTGTTTGTCCCTTGAGTAGAGTTGTGTCATCTAATTATTTCAATATCCCACTGATAGGAACTCGATGAATTGTAGAACAGATGCAACACATCAGTGGGTTCTGGTTGGGTCTTAGATCCTCTGACAATCATCACATGCCTCTGAACATTAAGGAGAGGGAAATTATAAACTGTATTTTCAGTATAAGTCATTTGACCATAGTGATGATGCATCATGTGAAGTTACCTCGTTGCTGATTGATCAATGTCATGAATCTCGTGTTGTACTACAAGTTGACGCTTTGTGTTTTATATAACAACATTAACAGTTAAAGCTTTATTATAGTACTACAATTACGTTATTCACTCAAATCCATTAAAGAACCGCAAACACGATAAGAACTGAATCTGTAGAGAGAGATAGTAAATTATGACACTAAAACAGTCTTTTATTTTCACTTTCAATTGAAATTAAAATCCAAAAAGTCCTTTACAAATACAGGAAATCAATACTGTTACATAAATACACCAGGTTGGCAACAATTCTTCCATACGGACACACAGTTTATAATTATCGACAAAACACAAATGGTGGAAATACATAATCATAGGACTACAAAGGTCATTTACCATTCCCATAAATTGTATGTGTGGGTGTGAATGTGTGTATTTTTCTTACAGTATGTGGGACTTTCAGTGTATGTGTGTGCATGTTTGTGTCACGTCTGAATAATTGTCCGTGTCTCATCTGGGGCCGAGCTTTAACGGGGCCTTGAGAGACGAGAGGTTCCTCTTGCTGTTGTGGGGCTTCACTCTCAGGTTTTGTTTTGGTGCAGTTTTCAAGTAAAAATGAAGCTGTCAGGGAAGAGATGAAGAAAAACGAGTCAGTGTCATTACAGTTCACAAGAACACACAAACACATAAAAATAAAGAACAAGCCTGATCTGGGGTTCTCCACGTCGACCCCTCACACCTGCTTTTTCTTCTAAAAGGGTGAATCGGTGGGTAACGCTGCGTATCAGCTGTTAGATTCCTGTCTTACTTTATATTCCCTGTCCAATACACACACGTACACACCTGTATGGCCTCAGCTGGTCCCACTGTGACAGTGCTGGTGGAGGGGAGGTAGCCCGGGGCGGACACTGTCACAGTGTAGGTGCCTGGTAACAGGAGTCTGAAATAGTCGCCATCCACACCTGCAGGAGCGCACACATGAGGAAAGGATAAGAGGCTTCACAGTGGTAGAAGAAGTATTCAGACCTGTATTAATGTTGTATGCTGCACTCAATTTGATTTATGTTATATATCATCAGGTGGCTTAATTTCCTGTAACAATGCATCATGTTGTCATAATCTTCATCTGCAATACAAGTGGAGACTGTAGCAGAATAATAGTATTAAGTAGCATTTCCTTCCTAATGGCAGTGGACTATAAGTATAGAGAACCATGAAATTGTAATACACTTGATTATGGTACTTAAGTAAATTTAAACGTACAGTTTGTACTATTTTCAACATGCACTTCTACCACCGACCAATAGATGGCAGTATTTTCCGTTCCAGTGACTGCACATGTTCTGATGATAAATTAAAATTCAGCTGTAGAATAACAAACTCTTGGGGCCTGCGTCACTTCCAGATAAACACATACGACAACAAAATAAATGTTCTTTATGTTGTTAAGATTTTATTCTTAGCAGCATGTTTACCACAAACCACATATTTCTTAAAATTGCATCTTACCGCTGGTCACATCATGGTGGATGCCAGCTACAGAGACCTCGGCGTTGCTGATAGGGTTGTTGTTTTCATCATACACCATGCCTTTTATCCCATGATGCACCTGGAGAAGCCGGAACATATATATCACTTAAAAATGAAAAATGAAAAATTCCTTGCAATCGAAAATACAATAAACAACGTGTCCTATAAAGTGAACCAGACCATACATTCTTGTTTGAATGTTATAATACAAGTCATGTCAGGTCGTACACTCAATTTCTAAAGCAAATGCCAAAACATTAGTGGTCTGCAATAGACACGGGCAAAACAGAACAGAATCTGCCGGCTCTTTCATTGTGGTGTGTTCAATCAGTGGAGTGGAAAATGTATGCATGTCTGACCCCTCCCTTGTGGCTTTAGAATTACCATTATTGGCAAAGCATTACTGCATTTTATCTCAGAGGGATCGAGGACATTTTGTATTCAAACCAAGGCTCCATTTTAATGCTTGACACAAGGTTAAAGTCAGTTTAATTGTATTACACATTATCCAGGGAATCCCAGCCAATATGTCCAGGAAACCAAAGACTCTGGACTCTTGGCAGTTGGTCTTTTGTGTATAAGTGAAGTTCCGTGTGTTTGTGGCGTGTGCATCAAGTTGGAAATTGTAATCTGCCAAATTTCGTGTACACTTAAGTGTGTTTGCTCTGACCTGCTCCAGGTATGAAACCAGTGCTTCTCGGTTGCCCAGCCACTCTCTGGGCAGAGCTGTTGCCGGAGGGAACTTATCACAACTCAGCTCCAGGGTGATCTCGAAACAGTTGGTGTACAGGTAGTTAAAGTCCTGCATCCCTGAAACACACAGAGATATTTAATTTCACTTTAGATTAGGGACACTTTGTCATATATACATATATATACAGAGGGGGATGTGGACCCTTTGACTCATGAAGGGGCCGTTCAGATCCTGAGGGAGACATTGGGATTTTACAAATTCTTTCCAAAGGAAACTAAAGACACGCTTTTGGTTGGTAAGAAACTGGACAGCAAAGCTTTTACTCAGTTGTTGGAGAGCTGTTTATTTTTTGAGTCTTTGCACATTTTTCATGGACTATGCATCTGAGGCCAATATTGGGGGGGACCAGTTCAAATGTAGCCTCGCAGACCATGACATAAGACTTGGAGCAAAAGGAGCTGTTAAAGCAAATATAACGTGCTCCTACCAAATGCGACTGTGGGTGTTTTCATCATAATTCAAACGCTCGCATGACTCAAGTGAAAAGCTCAACAGATTCACATTCCAATGGAAGAGGCCAGACCAGGACTTACAGATCAAAGAGGTGGTTCTTGATAGAGATGCAGTTACAGGTTAACTGAGCTGGGAAAGAATACACGACCAGAAGGTTTCCGCACAGATAATAATTCATACACTTCCTGTGGTTGTTGTTGGCACGTAGTCACCTAAATGTGGTAACGGTGCCGGTGGTTAAATGGGTTCATTTACAAACGTGAGCAGCTAAAATGAGGTAGGGGGTCAGAGGGGTGCAGCTCCTTATGTACAGGAGGTGAAGAGGTTAGAGGCAAGAGGAGAGCACAGAGGCCCCCGGAGAGAGTCACGGAGTTCACGAGGACACTGGGAGAACTGCGACACGCAAGCCTCTCAAGGCATCTCATTAATGCTGCAGCCCATGCCAGTGCTTGCCAAAACTCATGCAGGTGGCCTTGTCTTTCTTTTGAATGAGAAAGATAATGGATGTCCTCCAACATACTGGAATTTTCCATGTCAGCAGGGAAGACTTTGATTTGCACTTTGATCTGTGGAGATCAGTGTTCTCTGTGTTCAGGGTGCACGGCAATGTCCAACACTAAACTCCCTTTCTCTCACTTAGTCAATGTATTGCATATTGTTCTGTTAATGAATACTAAAAAGATGGCTGAAAATCATTGTTGAAGGGTGATGGGGACGTGTATTTAATGAATCCAGCAGAGTCTCTAGCTTTGTCTTTTTGAATTTGTCATTATGTCTTCGTGCTGCTCATGAGCAGAGGTGTTGCTGACCTTTGGACAGAGAGTACCAGCTGGCCCCGTTCGTGATCCCCTCATCGAAGAAGTCCCCGCAGTTCCAGCCCTTGTGCATCCAGCTGTGAGCGTACGAGTAGGTCCTCGCCAACTGCCGTCACAAAGGATCACAAATGCGCATGAGTCCGATCATTCATCACGTTCCCGCACAAATGCAGCAGACAGAAATGGCATCAGAGGTGTTTTACAGACCTGTCTGAAGATTTTATCATCCGGAGTTGCGGCGTATGTGGTCCTCCCTCGAATGCGGGAATCTCTCGACTTGTCGAAGGGGTAATTGGCCACCACAGCTCCTCCATGGAGGTTGGCAGACAGGACGAAATTGTAGTTTTGCATCCATTTTATGACGGCCAACGTCTCTGGTTCAACCTGTGGAGGATATTCAATAAGAAAAGGATAAAGAAACAACTGTTACTGGACAGAGGTCCATAGAGACCATATGGACCTTTTATATACTTGCACTAACAGACATGTTGAATCTGGCTGATCAGGTGACTGGATTATGTCCTTTATCAAATGTCCAACTCTTATTATTGTTTCACACAAACTGTATATAGTATAATATATGTATTTACTGTATTAGTGCCTGTCAGTCTTCCTGTCAAGTTACTTATAACTAAGGTTTTTATACATAACCATCACTTCATCCCACCACTGGCTTCTCTTGGCTGGCTATCTGCACATTTTTCCTCAGTGATTTTTCTTGCCATCATCATTCATCTTGAGAGAACCGTGGTTAATTCTTCTGCCTTGAAATGTATGAAATTCTTCTTTATTTTGCAGTTTATCTCATTTTATCAATGTTCTAGTGAATCATTCATCGAGGTCAGTTTTTGTTACAGGCGCCTCCTTTTCTGTTTTTGAGTCTGGATATTAGGGACAAAGATGAGTTTACAAGATAATGCAGACTACATAAGGCTGTTAATATTAACTTAACATTAATCCATGCATCCCATGCTGCAGCCTCTGCCTCACATTATCTAACCATTATCTTCTCTCTCTCAGCACACACTATCCTCACTCCCTCCTGGCTGGATATCGTGCTTGGAGACAAGGAGTAAAACCTCTCCTTGAGTGAGGTATGTAGGAAAATAAACACAGTCTGGCTCTGTTCAAGAATAATCAGACCGGTCGGAGCCCAAGTTGCGTTGATCGCAGCCTTGGCACCAAGAAATGAGCCTCCTGTTTTGAAGACTGGCAGGTGTTTATGATCTGTGGATCTTTATATACTACCATACATGCTTTGAAGTCAGACCTGCCACCGTGGTGTTGGGTTGCACATGAAGGGCACGCACTCACAAAAACACACTGACAGTCATTTCTTATTGTTACACTCCACGAATAACTCAGGCAGACGCAGAATTTCAACAAAACCACACATTCTAGATATATAGTTGAATAAATGTGGTATTTCTCAGAACCCCTGCTGTCATGTCTGTGAGTGGGTAAAAAAAAGAGAATTCCTGAGTGAAATTAACCGTGAAAAATTGCAACTACACACGGAAACTCTGAGACTGGTTGTGTTTTCTAAGTTGACACAAGAGTTGAGGGTTAAAATACTCCATGGGCACCTGAAAGGTCCTACGTTGAAGTATTGTGAGTTATTACAGCAGAATAAAAATAGTTCTCCTGATGAGGAAAACTGTGTTTCTAACTAAACTTACTCCTCTGGCTAAAACACAAGCAGTTGGCTGAATGTAGCATGGCTGAGCCTGTGAGCCTGTGAGGATGTAATCCCGGCCGGCATGAATGAAGTATCTGTAACAGCGGCACAGTTTCTCTTTTGTGCATCTCTTTCAGGCGGCAGCCATGTGGGTAGACAGCCAGCTGGAGAGAACAGCGTTTTAGTTTTCTCAATGCATTTGCAGACCAGACACTAGTAAATAGAAAAACAAGTTTAGAAATCAAAGGCTGGTAATTGCCAAGAACAAACACTATTTAATGTGTGATCAAAACGGTAAATGATAATGCAATTGTTGCTCTTTAATGCTTTACTTTGTTTGGAGCAGATTAAACCCACAGATACTGGAGATACAACATAATGCACCATGCATTTACTTCTATTCACTACTTTTTGTAAGTCAGCAGGTGTATCAGGGTGGGAGTGTATAACAGTATAATATCAAATTGTTCTTTTAATCCCTGTTTTTTTACTCTGCAAATGAAATATTATATTTTATTTATTTTATTTTCTCCACATGGGGTAGATCATCTGTATTTCTCATGGTTAATGTTACATCAGAAGGACAGATAACATGCACACTATGGGGTATTCATCGTCTTTTAACCTAATATGGTTAAATGGTCAAACGCGTCTTAATAAGATGGAAACAACCTCTTATCTCATATTTAAGTGTATTTGACTTTTGAGAAAAGATATTCCATTATCAAGCAGAACCAGCTCTGAGTTATTTCAGGAAGGATGAACTGAAGGCCGGGGACAGTTTAGAGATAGAGAGACACTTCAAGGAAATTAACCATGAAACTCAAACAGTGTCTGCTGAAGATAAGATGACTGCGGACGAGGCGTTCTCTGGTATCTGACCTTAAAATGTTGACTTTCTAGCAGACAGTTAGTTTGAGAGCACAAACTTCTTCACTTCACTTCTGCTCTGTTCATTTTACACTGCAGAGAACAAAACTATGTGTATTCCCTTTTTGACATTGACAGTGTTGGGCAGGTTTCTCATTGGTATTTTTAATGGAAAGCATCTGCAGTTGCATGTACAGTACAAGACTGTGCAGAGAGCTTTGTGTGTTTTTGCCAAATGCCTGGCAATATGATTTCCAATAGTCTCATAGCAACAAAAATATCCACAAACAGGGATCCAGCTCAGGGGTGAACGTGTTGGTTAAATAAAGAAAGTTGGCGTCTGTGTCTTTGTTAGACAGACACTTGATGAAGAGGTGATTTTTTTTGAAACTGCAGGTTTGTAAGAGGGAGTCAGGCGGTAGCATATAACAGACACACTCTGAAACCACAGAGACGGTCAGTTCAACTTCTCATGGTGGTGAAAGAGAGGAAAAAAAATCTCCGTAGACATTACACAAATCTTATCAGCTGTCATCGTCCCAGGAGTAAGGATCTCTGTATTTCCGTGTAATTTTGTTTACCTCAGACATCCTTCTAGGCTGCCAAGACTAAGAAACTCATAAACTCTGAGCAATCTTTGTATTTAAGGGTGGATCTGAAAGATATCCTTAAAGATTTGTTGCATTTGTTCCCCGTCTGCATGTGGCCGCTTTCAGTTTGCAAAGACAAAGGGGAGTGAAAAAAAACTGTTTACATAAGGAAAACATAGGTTTTGCAATAGGATAAGAAAACACAGCAGATCCAAACAGGTCAGACTGCTGAGACGCACCAAAACACAACATCAAGAGATTCAGTGATGGCCAGCCGAGTGATTCACCAGCTCTGCTTGCTGCTTGAATGTATGGACAGTTTATTTTTATTTAGTTAAAGTTCAGCTGGCAGCACAGTCTGTTCCACAAATCTCATGAAATCATTTAACAGCTCAGTTATGTTTTAGGTGCACACAGACACCAGCATTAAAAAATGTCCTCATCCGTTCCGCTCTTACCCAAGCATGCACATATTTATAGTGAATAATTCACTGACCTGTTGCTCCCAGTTATCCGGCAGCGGCAGGTGGTGGTTTCGCCCGTTGGTTTTCTCGTAGTAGTACATGAGCGCGTTCAGGTCTGGGAAGTTCCGGTTCAGGTCGATTTCCCTGGAGTTCCCTCGACCCACCAGGTAGCCGTTGAACTCTGGACCCTGTTGACCCACAGACAAATTTATCATGTGTGAAAAGCTGCAGCCTGTTTTGGTCACAGTCACCTCGCTTGTTACAGCTGAGTCACTGAGTTATCATGTTTTTGGCTTCAAGGGTTTTAGTTTATTACAAACTAGGAATTCTAACTGCTTGGTTGCAGTAAAGAAAACAGACATTCATATTGTACAAACTGCACAGGCAGAGAAACAATGGTAAATTGTTTGCCGTGGCTCTAGGGCTGGCAATGACGCTTGCTGCAGACTGAAAAGTCTCATTAATCACTGAAAGTTATTCCCATAAAATGTTGCACAAACATTCATAATACCCTGGAACCCTGATGACTCCCTGCATTTTTCTCTTTATCTTCTGCCATCGCAAGTTTCACATTTGTGGTTCAGGATGAAACGTCTCCACCACCAATCGGACCCAAACATTCATGTTCATGGTAAATTGCACTGATAGCACATTATACTAACAAGTCAACAATATATATGCACAATGCTGAGGTTAACTGTTCAAAGGCCCTTCTGTTCTCGAGTAGAGCCTCACAGAGACGTTAGCATGGCTGTAGATTTATTATTCTCTGGTCTCAGAGTGTTGGAATTTCACTTTTCCCTGTTGCAACTCCAAAAACGAGCATTTATCATTGAGTGTTTTCAGAAGTCAGAGCATATTCCAAGAAATGATCCAAATAAGGAATCTTAGTATTTCTATGCAAGACAACTGAGAGTACTTCACATGGAGCTGCAGTATTTCTTACACACTACTACTATGCCTTCTAGGATAAAACTACCTCCCCCATTGTTTTCCAGATGCTGCTGCAACCAAACATCTGTTGATGAAACCAATTATAGTGTGGAGTGCACGTGTCATCTGAGTGGCAGACAGAAGGAACATTGTGTGCAACATAGCCTCCTTAGGACATATAATTAGTGATTGTATGTGTACGTGTGTGTGTTAAAGGGTTTCATGTCAAGTCTGTTGTTTCATGGCCTGTATAATTATCCTGGTAGAACACGGGAGGCTCCCTCAGGGAACTGATCGATGGTTTTATTACAGACATGTGCAAAAAACCTGTTTTCTCAGTTGCTCATCCTCAACACACAAACCTTCATTTTATATGAAGTCAGATACTTTAAGATGGATGTTATCGGAGGGAGTCAGTGCTGAATACGTGTATTGAGCTCTGATTTTAACTTGCGAGTCTCAACTGTCACTGAGGGACCTTAACTTATCCAACATTTCCACTGGCAAAAAATGTGGAAACTTTTTCCAGAGTGGTAAACGATTGCTCAAGAAAAACAACCGAGCGCGTCCCTGTGGAAGATTTTCCTTGCTTTTCAAAATTCTTTAGTTTTAGTTTGCAGAAGCCTGGAGGTCGGGGTGTACATTACCTGTCTGGCAGCCACCTCGTAGCCGTCAGGGTTCATGGAGGGCAGGATGTGTATGCGTGTGTCATGAATCAGCCTGAAGATCCGCTGGTTTCCGGCCCGGTACTCCTCGCACAGAAACTGGGATAACTTAATGAGCAGCTCGCGGCCCAGCACCTCGTTGCCGTGCATGTTGCCCACATACTTGAACTCTGGCTCCACTGGAGAGGAAATAGTGAGGTGGAGGGGGCATGGGGTCAAAAAAAAGAAACAAAAAGAGAGCTACAAAGCTTGACATTTAAAATGAATGCCTGAGCATGCACGCAGACACACACACACACACACTGTAGCTCATTAACTGAGTCTCTTTCATGTTTTTGATTCAGCTGTTAGGTTTTTTGTGTCTTTGAGCCATTGTCTTTAGATACAAGTTTGAATTCTTTATATCATCATCATCACATAACTTTAGTGATAAGCATTGAACCTATGGTCAACAGTGGTCATGAGAAGCATTAACACAATTGCCCCATTTTGACTGGCTGAAGTATGGGTCAGGAATCCTCCATGTTAGTTGGCAGAACGTGGACCAAACTAAAAAATTAAAAGTCTTTCTTGATTATCTGACATTTCCGGTAGCTTTGAGCACATTGATGATTGTTCAAGTGCTCATTTTACCAGCAAGTTTGGTTTTAATTAGTTAGTTGATGCTGTAAAACCTTTAAAACCAGGGTGAAGCATCGCAATTGGTCAGGAGCATGTATCAGCGGGACCTTGATACCGGGGCTCCACCCCCTGATCGCTGTTCAGACTCTGGATTCTGGACAGTGTGATCTTTTAGTCAGTTATGATCACGACCATAGAACATTCTTCTCAGTCATCGCAACCTGACAGCAACATTTACCCACAATTCAACTGAGATTTGAACGAGCCTCGCTGAGTGGTTATGGTAGCCTTGAGCCTCAAGCAGGGATGAAGAGCAACAGAGGCCTGGTCAGTAACTCCACATCCACAACAGATAAAACACACAAAGTTTCACTGTGAGCTAATTAACTTTCTTTGCTCGATGTTTTATTGGAATTTCCTGATAAGGATTTTTCTCAATGTTCAGACAAAGGTGAGCTCTGGAGTCCAGTTACAGATGATTCAATTATTTGGATAAGGTCATCTGGCATTCCGATGTATCTGTCACTGATTAAGTGAGCTGCCTCCCTCTCTGTGTCAGGTTCCCTCCTTCCACACGGTCCTTTCATTAATCACTGCGTCTATGCTTAGAGACTTACGAGCCCCAGAAACAGCACAGCAGGACAGAGCTACTGCAGAACACTGGCCAAGGTTTATTATTTCACTCTATGGCCACAGAACATAGAATGAAACAGTTTTAACTGTTGTAATTGTGTTTTTTGAGGGGTTGGGGTATTGTGTAGGTGAGTAGATACTTCCAAACCCTTCTCTAATTGCTTCAGGCACCCAAATGGTGCAGCTTGGGCACTGCAATTCACCTCCCTTTCTTTAAGAAGGGGCCAACTGGCCATCAGAAAACAGTGCTGGCTCTGAGTGTGGAGCTTTAAAACACACACACAAACACACATGCACACACAGCAGCATGTGAAAGACATGAACTTCCCTAAAGGGTGCAAGAGGCTTGACCCAGACAAGACTTAGGGTCGCTCCCCCCCCTGTAAAGTGCACGGTTCCTGTTTTTCACCCTCGGCCACCTTGCAACAGAACAGGCGCACATCCTTCTATTCTACTCAAGGAAGCCCCTACGTGTGCACATGCAGAAAAAAAATGCAAGCTCAGCCGCGGCCAAAAAAGTTATATAAAATAGCTGCTATTACAAATGCAACAATGGGTGTTAAAATCATATAATCTCTCACATGATTATGACCCTTTGGCCTGTTTTCAATATAAACACTGGCTTTAATGAGTTATGATTTTTCAGTTTGCGAACGATACATAAAATAAACGGCTGAAGAGCTGATTCAGTGGTTTGGAGAGGAGGGGAAAACAAGCAAAGCTTTCTGAAGAGTGGGTTCAGGGTTAAAGCCGTGTTGACTCAGACTGAACCCCTCTGCCATCTGCTCCGCTTTGAATAACACCCCACATTTTCTCAGTGGCTGAATGGCAAAAGAGAAAAAAAATGAAATGAATCACAGATGTTGACTCGTTTCTTTCACTTTTGCCTTTGAGTTTTCAACAGATCACGGTCAACTGATGTCCATCGAAGGATCCAGCTGGGAGAACACTACTCTTTTTCTGTCTTCGCTGCTAAGCCACATCGTAGCTCAGCTTCATAATCGAAGAGTTTACATTTCATCTACAGAAAAAAAACACAGAGCGAGTTCAGACTGCTCTGTCTCCTGACAGTTTTGCTCTCAGCAAGAAGTGCAAAACCAATGGACAGCCAGGGATGAGCATGATAAATCTATAATCATTAAAAATCTATTTTTTTGTGCCACTACAACAATATATCATGCTTGTATCAGCCTCAGTAGATAATTCATGCCATTAGAAATAGTTTGAACTTGTTCAATAGAAGTTTTAGCACAAATAAACTGATATTCACATTTTTTAAGATATCAAATTGAACTTGCTGTCATCATTCTCCATCTAAAACACTTTCATCTTAATGGAACCTGCTCATCCTCAGGGAATCAGCTGGTACTCACATGCTTCATGGATGCCCGGGTTATCACTGAACTCCAGCACGTAGAGGTGGCGCCCCTCCACGCTGCGCCCGATGCTGTATATGCGGGTGATGTAGGGGCACTCGCTCTGCACTGCAAACAGAGCTCGCACCATGTCCTCGTACCGGTGATGCTGGAAGTCCGAGCCCACCACCAGGAGCCCCATCATTCCCAGCAGGACAGCACCAAGCCAGGGAAGAGTCCACCGCCGCTGCTGGTGCTGCTGCATGGTCCCTCAGCCCAAGTTGTGCAGCACAGGAGGAGACAAGGGGAGCCTGGTGTAGAGACTTGCTGCAACAATGCAATGCACTCACACACACTTTCAGATGTATATTTATCTCCTCACACACCAAACATACTGGCTACTCCCTGCTTGCTCCTCTCCTTTCTTGTTCACCCCTGTTTCTCTCCCTCTCCCCCTGCCTCCTCCCACATACAGTCCTCACACTGAAGAGCAACTAAGGACAGCCCCTCGCTCCTTCTTTGTCTCACTCTCCTCCTCCAACAGCTGCTTCTCTCCCTCTCTCTTTCCCTCTGGGTCCCTGTCAAGTACATGCTACTTGCTTTATTGCTGCTTAGAATGCCTCAGCTCCGAGTGGTCCGTCCCACAGGGCCCTCGTCTCTCTAACAATCTGATTTTCATTCTTGTCCCTGAGACACTCGTTTTCAATCCCTTCCTTTGTCTCTGACTCTAGTTCTAGGCTGCCTTCCTGGGAAAGAGGGGTTGTTTCCACGGCACTGCTCTCCCCAACCCCTGCAGCCCTCAATCATCCATTCATTAACTCTTAAGTCAACACACAACCCCTGTGTGTGTGTTTGTGTGAGTGTGTGTGAGAGTGTGTGAGTGTGTGTGAGTGTGTGCATGCACGCACATGAGCCTCCACTCCTCAGATGAATCAGTGTGAGAGGTCTTTCGCAACCTTTGGACTGGTTTTGTTGCTCGGTTTCATTGAAGAAGCATTCACACACACACACACACACACACACACACACACACACACACACACACACACACACACACACATGTAGGAAAACATACCCACACATGCTCTTATGGCCCAGGGAAGAAAGACCAAATGCTGCAATTAAACTTCTAAAACACACCGGTTGATGCCAAGACACCCCCCCAACGCACACACTGCAAAGCGTGCAAGGGGTGCTGTCAATCAAACCTGCCAGAGAAAAGAGGAGGGCTTTTTTTCCCCACCGAGAGTTGTGCAACAGCTTGTAGAAGTTTCTAAAAAAGAGAACAGGGAAAAGCAAATGAGACGCAAGAGAAAGAGCCGAAGACGGAAAATTAAGCAACATTGAAGCTCAAGAGGTAAAAAAAAAAATAAGGAGGGAAGATGAAGATCAACAGACAAGGATGGAGAGAAAAAGATAGAGAAAGAGGACAAGAAAGAGAGGCAGAAAAAAGAAAGGGATGTAGTCAGAAATTCAGACAAACACAAAGACCAACTTGGCAGCACTGCATTGGAAGATCGGCCTTTTTGTCATTGCTTTCCATCCCATCAGTGTCATTGCAACTGATAAGATAGAGTGAGACTGCACTGGTCCTCATTGTCTCTCTGTTTCCTCTGCCTCATTGTTTACATCTGCCCCCCCTTTTAAAATATTCACTCTGATCCCCGCTCACATCTCTCGGCCAAAACCTCTCAGCTGTGACTTTCAGTTCGGTGAAACAATCCCATCCAAGATGTCCCAAAAAACATCCTTCACTGAATGAGATTCAATGGATCCTCATTGTCACTGACCCTGAAAACACATCACAGGACAAGTCCAGTTTGTATCACGGAGTTAAAACATCAAGTATTAACTCCAGATTATCTCGAAGAATGTCACCTTGAATTTTTTCAAGGGAATGTGTAACCAAAATGAAAACACTGAGGCCGAGCGACTTTTTCTGTTTTCATGAAACTTTGATAGTTGCGCATGAATATTTATACTATCGCCAGGTACTCGGGTTGGCCTTTAGGGGCGGCCGTCTGCCACACCCGGCTGGGTGAGAGGTGAGAAATGGGGAGAGGAGAGAGAGAGACGAAAAGGAAGGTTGCGAAACTGTCATATCTAAGCTCTGATAGACTGGTTGTTAAAATGAGAAAAATAACAGTGATACTTATAGATGTAATGATGGTGTGAGCGATAACAGCACCAGTTATTAATATACATATACACATACATACACCGGGGACCTGTACAGGAAGTACTGGTCCAGCTAACCACTCAATGATCAAATATATAGATGAATGATAATAATAATATTATATAATATAACATTATAATATCCTATAGCATTCAACCAATAGGATTCCGTGTAAATAGTCATCTGTACCTGTGTGTGTGTGTGTGTTACTTACTGTAACATAACGCCCCCTGGTGTACAGAACTGTTACTGGAGCTGTAGACAGAAGTCGTGCAGAGTTGATAGTATATGTGTGTGTGTGTGTGTGTGTGTGTCAGCTGCAGAGATAAAGTACCTGACAACATGGCCACTACTTCCCGACAGCACCTGAACAGTACGGTGGCCGAGAGAGATCAACGCACTGCAAATTTAAAAAAGCACACGTGCACATTAAGAAGACAACCACCTGAGGACACACGCTGCAAAAAAGTCACAACACAAAAACAGAAACACTGTTTGGTGATACAGCGACAACATCTGCACAGATGTGACCGGAAGTCTTTGTTTGGTTCATCTTCATTGGAGACTAATGATGCCTTCACGTGCCATAGGACACAACGTAAGTGTCAGGGTCATTGGAAACTTTCTATTAATCGCCCATTCAATTATTATTTACCAGATTGACCACTTTTATTTTTGTCTTCTTTCGTTTCCCTTTTGTTTCTGTGTATTTTTTAATTATATATTCTTTAATTTTTCTGTTGTTGCCTGAGCATGTGATGGCAGCCTCTCAGTCATTTGGAGCACATATATGATTTCTCTGACACCAGTCTTTACTGGTTATGTCCATTAGTGGGCAGTGTGCACTAAAGCAAGATTCCACTTTATTCTTACTTTACATTTAGTTTTCATAACAAAGGAAATCCATTAAGTAATTATTAAAAAATAAGTATGTGTAGAGGAAGCAAACTGAAATTCATATTTTCCTTATCTAATTAATTTGTCTCTTTTAATCACAGTGTGTTTGAAGGCATCATTTCCAAATAGTCTCTATCCAGGAGAAAAAAAACCTCACCAAAATAAAAGCCACCATATCTCAGGCTGTAGATGCTGCCCTGTCCCCGCCCACTGCATCTGATAGTATAATAACGTGAGCTATGGATGTGGAGGAGGTGGTTCTAAGACATTTGACTCTATTAGGAGTTGTACATAAAAGTTGTTCCTCCTTTTCTTCTCCTCCTCGTCCTCCTCACTGCAGAGCTCGTTGCCCGGCTCCTCTCCTCACTGAGCCCGCAGCAGGATGGGAGCTCTCCCGGCGCAGGGGCTGTTCTGGATGGGTCTTTTGATTTTTACTGGGATATCAGATGTTTGCGGTAAGTCCCTGAAGTACACGTGCAGTATAAGAATACCCAGTGCAAGTAAAAGTACATAGAGTACACACAGAGTTAGACATATGATGCATGTCTGGAGGTTGTCAGACTTTAAAAGTGAGGTTGTCAAAGTGCCTGCTGGATAGATAATATGCTTGGTGCACCATAAATACTTTATAGGGGTGCAAGAAGTACTAAGATACTTTTAAGTACAGAATAGAGAACCCCAGTGCAAGTAAAAATACTGCATGTAACATTGTACTTAAGTAAAAGTAGAAAGACACAGAGTTATAAACATGATGCATTTATGGCTGTCTGGGTGTTTTCCTGTCTTCAGGAAATTAGGAGAGTAAAAGTGTAATTTGTCCATAGTCCAAAAGTAGTGTTGTAAAATTGCATGAGTCAAAGAAGAGAAGCATTAGCAGCTAAATGTAGTGAAGGGTGAAAGTACTTGTCTAGTTAGATTATTTAAGTGCATTAAAGAATACATATACTTTTACTGTTGCATGTACTTCATACATGATCAATTTTGATCCAAATTTTTGATCCATCAATCAAAAATATTTTTTCTTGTGGTTCCAGCCTCCAATATCTGCACCTCCAGAGGAGCCAGCACATGCAAACAATGTCTGGCTGTGCACCCCAGCTGTGCATGGTGCGTCCAGGAGGTGGGTTTCTCTTCCACTTCACTTCAATGAGCTTTCTGCTGGTGCAGGGTGAAATGGATAATGTACCCAATAATCCATTGGCTTGTGTTTAGGCTTAAACCTGATTTATAGCACGTAAGACACAGTGACTGTCGTTCTTTGACTGTCTGCATTTTACTGTCAGGATTTTGGTCAGGGTATTGCCAGTTCTTCCCGCTGTGACCTGAAGAGTAATTTGGTGGCGGCGGGCTGCGCTCCATCATCTGTGGAGTTTCCAACCAGCAAGATGCAAGTGATCGAGGACCGGCCCCTCAGCAACAAGGCAGCGGGGGCCTCTCAAGATTTCACTCAGATCAAGCCTCAGAAAGTTCACATAACACTCAGGCCAGGTCGGTTCCTCAGTTTGGATATGAGGGGTGGAAAATAAATCCAGTGCTGAAATCCAAGAGGCCCATACAAACATCAAGTAAAGCCAGAAATATAAATCTCTCTCCCCCAGATGATGCCAAGCGCTTCACGGTGAAGGTGCGTCAGGTAGAGGATTACCCCGTGGATCTTTACTACCTCATGGACCTCTCCTACTCCATGAATGATGACCTCTTCCGCCTGAGGACGCTGGGCAAAGGCCTGGCCGTGGCCATGAACCGCACCACCAGCAACCTCCGCATGGGCTTTGGGGCTTTTGTGGACAAGCCGCTCTCACCGTATATGTACATCTCCCCCAAAGAGGCTGTGAAGAACCCCTGCTACAGGTAAGTCATGTGACTATCTTGAGCAATACAGAGGAAAACAATATAGATCAAACTATTGGAGAAGCAGTTTAATGTGAAATAAAGTTTGCTAATGATCCTTTATTTTTAGTTCCAAATAGTAAAAGCGAATGAACGTATTTCCTTTAATGTCAAACTATGACTTTAAAACTTCAACACCCAATTAGCATCATTTACCTGTTCCCTGTTGTCTCACAGGAATCTAAACCCACACGTCTTTGTAATGGAAAGCTTATTTTAGTGTCTGCTCTCTTAGATTTAGCAGCGTTTTTGCAGTGTTTTGATTTCAGTAGCTGTTTATGTCTGCGTGTGGAAAGTAGCGTCATTATGCAGATGATGTCATTTTAGTGAGGACACCTTTAAACACAGCGTTGCTCGGTGAAAACGCAGGCAGGCTCAGCGTCACAGCACTTGTTAAAGGCTTAAAGTGGCTCCCCGCTGCTTGGTCAGCTGCTCTGAATCAGCCGCAGGTAATCGTACCCTCTGCAGGGTAGCACTAGTGTCCCTGAGCAAACCCCCATAACCCCCTTAAGTCATTTACTCCCCCACTTACACACAGTCTGCAGATATCCAGCCTCCAGGAATGTTTGGATAATAGATAAGACAAGTGGAGAATTTGG